ACGTCATTCCTCAGGAGTAACGTTGTAACGTCGAAACATGTAGAATCGTCAACTTTTTGAAGGCCATAGATAGGCCTAAATAAAATGTTTTTAATTGTGTACCAGTTTAATGTTGAATATTATTTATGATTTTTAACTTTATACACAAGTGCCAAAATACTATGATTAGTTAATTCCTATCCATTTATTACTGATGCATCAATATAGTCCAACACATATTTACAATAAGGTTGTGGTAATTGTATATCACCCATTATCTCCTCAGTCTAATTACTAATTAGTTACTCATTTTTTAATTACTAGATAGTAATTACAAGTTAGTTAAATCCTGTGTTTTAGCTGCTAATCTGCTGCCATCTTTAGGGGAGTTCTGAGAAGTACAGTATATGATGAGAGGATCCTAGCAAGGCTGCAAGAAGTTATATAATAAAATGTACTAATAATAAAATAATGGAATACAAACTGTGCACAAGAAGAAAAAAAATTATAAAAGAAGCCTTGTACATTCCCTAACTGATATTACACTCCTCAGCCAACCTAGCACAGAAGTCAGCAAAACCTGGATATCCTTCTTGATATTTAAATAGTTGATTCTAATTCTAATGGGGGTGAGAAAATGAATGCGTGGATATCACACCAGTCTTTCTAACTAGAAACCAAAGAACTTAACCCTTCCCACCACATACAGCCCTTTTGAGGACTTTCCTGAAAACAACAGCAGATGAGCATTGAAGATGTGAGATTAAACTAATTGATAAGTAATATTTAATAATTAAATGATAATAATTAACAATTAACTGGTAATTAGGCTTAGGTGAATCATATAGACTACTAATCATGACAAAGATAAAGTACTTCTAACAAGGTTGTAGCAATCGGATATAAATTGATGTCATTGTTAGTAGCCTTTATGATCAGCTAAGTCTAAGTCAGGTTGATAATACACCAATAAGAAGAGGGACAAATCCTGGCCCAATGGAACACAGAAAATAGTCCTCCAGAGGACTTTACTGACGACAGCAGCAGATAAGCAGCCGAAATATAGGATAAACACTGGCTAATTACTAATTAATAACTAGATTTAGGTGATTGTACAGGCTACTAACCATGGCAACAAGAATTCAACACCTTCGTGCCTGATAAGTAAACTTTACTATTTCAGTCACAGAATATCCTATCATACGCCTATATTTCATGGAATATTTTGACCAACATCTGCGATTCAAGCATTCATTTGGTGGCAGCGCAATCTCACTATTAAATATAGTTCAAACTACTGACACTCAAACTTATTTATACAATACCTTAAGACTTTATTCTCAACAGCATAAATTTTTTTCCCACTGAAGTCATCTGATTTTATATATTTCCTGCTAAAAACCAGTTTTTATAATTTACTCTACTTACAATGCACTAGCATATTACATAAATATACTGTTCTTCACTAACATATGAATCACAATATATGTGTTATTTTTAATTAAAACAATTTCTGACGACACAAAAAAATAAAATTTAGATTGCATTGTACTTCAGTAAGCCATATTTATAAAAAAAACAGCAACCTGTATACACACAAAATATTTCAATGAAATAAAGTAACACTAACTACATTAGTTAGCATGATAATAATTACCTTAAATGTACATAAACAATACAAATAAAAAACATTTCTTGAATAATTTATAAACTTACAAGAAATGAAAAACACCAAAAAAAACAAACAACAGGTACATTATTAGGGTATAAAGAAAAAATCTAGTATAAAAAAGAACTTACAGATGTAATTTAAAGTTAGAAATGATCACACCACCTGTCAAACACTATTTCACTACTTTGATGCACATTGTATGTCTCTAAATGTGCAGGGTAAATCAAAAGTAAGGAGCCAATTAGCAATGAGTGTTCTTTCTATCCAAGATCAAAACTTTGATGTACATTGTATGTCTCTAAATGTGCAGGGTAAATCAAAAGTAAGGAGCCAATTAGCAATGAGTGTTCTTTCTATCCAAGATCGAAACAGACACGACCATAATCGTATTTTATACTTTGCTACCAAACTTAATTCTTGGCATCTGAAATGTTCAGAAAATGTAAATTAACCATTTTTAGCACTCACTAGTGTATGAGGAATATTACAGATCACAAAGTACATGTAAGAAAATAGTAGAAACAAAAATATTTATTGCTAGAAAAGGGGTAATGAGATTTGAAATTTTTCTTACACTGTTTTTCAGTAAATAAAATTTAGATTTTTGGATAATTAAACTTCTGTTGATATTTAATGTATTATACAAGAAATTACACATTATAGATGTGATTTGTTATAAATAAGTATGCAATGCTGGAAAGTTATACCTTCAAAAATGTTAAACGTTTCATATATTCAAAAATATCTAAAATTCAAAACACGCAAAAGGAAAAAAAAAGAAGTAAAACTACAGAGCATCTATACATGTACAGACTTAAATTATAGTGGAAAATAAACAAAAACAAGTTAGGTGTTACACAAACTGTTCGATAAATGTCATGCAGAATCCAATAACGTTTGATATTGAAAAAAAAATCTTTACAGTACCAAATTTTATCTGTTTGAAACAAAGTTAAATTTTAGCAGTTTATCTATATTTTCATAAAGTTGTTATTTAACGTACGAGTTTATAGAACAAAAATAACTCCATCCAATTTATTTCCTACCGATTTTTGTTTTTAATCAATTTACAAACAGACATTTATAATTTTCAATTCATCAATAATGACAGAAGGTAATTTTGAAGTTATAAAGTATGATCACACTGTTAGTCGCGAAGAAAATGTAAGGAAAATACTGAAAATTAAATTATGTGTTCAACCGTTTGATGGTTTTTTTTTTCCCATAATGTCAAAGAGAAACTTTCATTAAGGCTGTAAGTAGTCTAATATGGATTTCAGGTTTAACCACTGATATTTTAAGAACCGTTTAGCTGAAAAATTAGTTGACTGACAAGAAGTTAAAAAAAAAGAACCTATCATAATGTGTCAGTAAAATGTCAGATTTGATGGATAATGAATAAGTTAGATGTAAAATCTTACAGTGAGAAGGTTGGAATCTTAAAGTGTCTATGTTAGCTTAATAAGAGGGAAAGTCAAATTAACAGTCAGGGAAGAAATAATAATCATTTCTTTTCAGTAAACCAGCTGCGGTTCATAAAATCTGTAGATAAGTAAGGACAAGGGAATATTACTGACATGTTAGAATCGACAGTTTGTAGTTTATAATTCTTAATACCAGTCTATCGTAAATTGAAAGATCCAAGTTGGAGCTACCTTTAGCAGATCCTGGATAAAATATTTAATATAAGATGTTCATAAAAAATCGTTACATATTAATGATAAAATATGTTATATGAAAAACACTCAAACAACTAAAGTTAAAGTTATTTAGCTGTACAAATCATGAAGAGATCTCGATAAAATGATCTCAACTCCTTTCTGTGTATAAAGGCAGTTTAAACTCTTTACACTTTTTTGAATACTATTCTTAAGAAAATCAGAACAAAAGATCCATACATTTCTGTAAATCAATATATTTCCACTCTGAGAAAATGGACTTAAGTAGTTGAACTGAACCAGTATCAGTGCAATTTGTATTGAAAGCCTAAAATGGGTAAATTAACTGATAGATTCCATCACTTTTACTTCTCTAAAATAAGTAAAAACAAACAGTAGAATTTTCCTAAATGGCTTCAGTGTAATTTCAATACTTGTTTGTTGTTGTTAAGCACAAAGCTACACAATGCGCTATTGGTGCTTTTCCCAACAAGGGTATTGAAACCACATTTTTAGCATTATAAGCACTCAGTGTTACTGGTGAGCAGAGTTTTAAACTACCAAAATGTCTTAAAGACAAAAATGCTTTCCGTTTCTGGGAAAGCTCATAAACACAAATTACAAGAGATACTTCTTAAGTTATATATTGAGATATTAATTAAATTAAAAAAAAAAAGCAGCCATTTTTTCCATACATTTTCGTTTGTAGAAATAAAACAAGAATAAAGTTACTGAAAAGATATTTTTACTCAAATAACAGTTTTTCTTGGGGAATTTTCATATTGTTTCTTCAGTCGTTTTCTCAGTTCTCCGGGAAACTTCTCGTAGCATCTTTTACATACCGGTTTCAGATCAAACTCAAAGAACTTAGTTCTGTGAAATAAATGTTTACGGTTACTCTTCAGATTACTTAGTCTATATTAAAGTAAATTTTCTGTGTCATAAAAATATGTTCCCTTACAAATCTTTTAAAATAATTAATTACACAAATCAGAATGTAGTTCTAATGATACGTGCTAATTAGAAAAAAGTTTAAGTATAAATAAAATTAAATATATTGAAATAAATACTTTTCAAAGTATATGTATGATAAACACTAAAAAAAAGATACGTAACTTATTTCTTGGGGGGGGGGGTATATAATTAACAGACAGTAATAGTGCCGAGGACATTAGCAAGCAGTCAACGCTTCTCAGCGTAGCCCTCCATCATGGCACGAGCTTCATTAATCAAACATATGTGGTGTTAAAAATATCATTTTATACAACTACTTTTAAAACATCAGTTGACTGTGGGTGCTGGCCATGCAAACTTTCTTCCAGGGGATCAAAATATTGAAGGTGCTAAGTCAGAATTCTGGGAAATTCTGAAATGCATATATTATGAAACAAGTACTTTATTGAGGACTGGTATTATCATGATGCAAGAAAACATTTTCCAACAGTGAACAGGCACCCAGTCATTCACTAGCCACAATGAGGACTGGTATTATCATGATGCAGGAAAACATTTTCCAACAGTGAACAGACACCCAGTCATTCACTAGCCACAATGAAGACTGGTATTATCATGATGCAGGAAAATATTTTCCAACAGTGAACAGATACCCAGTCATTCACTAGCCACAATGAGGACTGGTATTATCATGATGCAGGAAAACATTTTCCAACAGTGAACAGATACCCAGTCATTCCCCAGCTACAATGAGGACTGGTATTATGATGATGCAGGAAAACATTTTCCAACAGTGAACAGGCACCCAGTCATTCACTAGCCACAATGAGGACTGGTATTATCATGATGCAGGAAAACATTTTCCAACAGTGAACAGACACCCAGTCATTCACTAGCCACAATGAGGACTGGTATTATCATGATGCAGGAAAATATTTTCCAACAGTGAACAGATACCCAGTCATTCACCAGCCACAATGAGGACTGGTATTATCATGATGCAGGAAAATATTTTCCAACAGTGAACAGGCACCCAGTCATTCACTAGCCACAATGAGGACTGGTATTATCATGATGCAGGAAAATATTTTCCAACAGTGAACAGATACCCAGTCATTCACCAGCCACAATGAGGACTGGTATTATCATGATGCAGGAAAATATTTTCCAACAGTGAACAGACACCCAGTCATTCCCCAGCCACAATGAGGACTGGTATTATCATGATGCAGGAAAACATTTTCCAACAGTGAACAGACACCCAGTCATTCACCAGCCACAATGAGGACTGGTATTATCATGATGCAGGAAAACATTTTCCATCGTTTCTTCTTTTATGCCTAATCCTAACTGGTTTCATATAACTGTAGAAACTTCCTGCCCGTTTGAATAAAAATATTATCTTTTATTAGAATTTTTGTACAAGGCAACACAAAAATTATCCATGCATAGCAAGTCTTTAATTTTGAACTGACAGTTTAGTAGGAAGGCAGCTATTTAATAGCACCCACCAGTAACTCGTGTCTGACCAAATAATGGGATTTAACTGTCATGCATACCCATAACCCCATAGTGTGGAGCAAATTTCTATGGGCAATGGGATACAAACCATGAACCCTTAGATTCACAATCGAGGTATGATTACCACTAGGCCATGCCCAGCCACAAAAAAGTTGGCTGGAAAAGATAATTGTTTGTTTTGAATTTCGCGCAAAGCTACACGAGGGCTATCTGTGCTAGCCGTCCCTAATTTAGCAGTGTAAGACTAGAGGGCAGGCGGCTAGTCATCACCACCCACCACCAACTCTTGGGCTACTCTTTTACCAACGAATAGTGGGATTGACCGTAACATTATAACGCCCCCATGGCTGAAAGGGCGAGCATGTTTGGTGTGACGGGGATTCAAAACCGCGACCATCATATTGCGAGTCGAGCGCCCTAACCACCTGGCCATGCCGGGCCTAAAAGTTTGATACATAAACATACATACATACATGCCGGGGCCCTAACCACCTGGCCATGCCAAGCTGGAAAAGATAATTACTTATTTCTATTAAATGTAGGTATATCAATGTTGCCTACAGCTTCTATTAAATGTAGGTATATCAATGTTGCCTACAGCACAGAGAGACTTAAGCTACTATTATATTAGAATTGCTAGATATATGTTGGAGTTTTTTGGGGGGCAGCTTAAACTATTCTTCGGCTGTAATTATTACCATATATTTTGTGGGTATAAAAAACATTTATACAAACACAAAACAAGTGTATGTCTAAATACCTAATTACATTAATTTTGATTTTCTTCATGATACACCAATGTTATTTCAAGTTATAAATTTAAGCATGTTTTACAACTAAGTGTGTACTCAACTTCTGAGGGATTAGATTTAATAGCACTGACAGAACTTTTGTTGTAAGTACTTGTAAAACTATTCTGTCAAGTATACATTGCTTCTATACAAACACTTTTCATATATTATTAATCATAATAAAACTGAAAACTTACTTTTGACTCATTTTTGTGTCGCAAATAGCACAGGCAAAATGGTCAACACACCAAGCTTTGTTTAAAGCAGAAAAAACTAGGGGGAAAAAAACAAACAAAGGATTTACAGCATGAAATAAAGAAATATACTGGTATCAAAATCTTTAACTACTTTATCTAATATTCTGGTGAAATGAATTTCTTTTTTGACTGAAAATAAACCCATATGGACCCATCGGGCACATTCTTATACACTACTTTCACACCAAATGACTTGTGAATTCACAATTTTATTTGTTAAAGTGTCCCTAACAATGCAGGAGTCTCATAAAAAAAATTTAAACAAAATCCTATTAATTACTTTGGGGATCCTCTGTGTATTTTGTGTTAAAAGCGATTTCATCTACTTTTTTTTTTCGTCAGTACTTTACGCTGAATAATATATATATCAGACAAAAACATAAAATTACTTAATATGATGTAATATGGGTTGACCTTACCAATAATGTATAGCATACAAAAAAAATTGATAATTCGTGAGTTAAAAGATTTAAACTTAGGACTAATTCAATTTAACTTCATTACCATATAAATTGGAAACGAAAAATAAAAAGTACATGTTTCTTCAAGTGCTTCAAACCCATTTAAGTTTCAAGGAAGAGAAAGACACAGTTACAGGCCAAGACCACTTCAAAGATGGCTAAAAGTTGTGATGATCATCAATTTATAAGGTAAGTGGGTGTTCCTAAAGACGTTTATCTATCATCTCTTCAAACTCTAATCAGAACATGCGTGTCTTTACTGTGCTGTTTCTTTCAAAACACTGAGAATTCTAAACTTCCAGTTTAACTTGAATCCCAAAACTATAAAATAATCCCAAAACATATTCTGTAATTTTACAAGATGAAAGAAAATTTATCATGGTAGTTGTAGATGAAATCTGAAAACTTGATAAAATTATAAGTAAAGTTCAATTGGGAAGATTTCTATACATATTTAATACACCCAAAGGGCTTTTACCAACATCTAAAACATATATACTGTAGGGTAACAAAACAATATATATAATACAAAATAATTTATGGTTAACTATAATATTACATGTACATGTACAGAATAAACTTAATTCAAAACTAAATGTTACTTTGGAATAGACTTGTAGGAGTAGGTTCGATAGTTATCAGAACTTTAAACATAAACCTATTGATATATACAAATATATATAGCAGAGACAGGTGATATGGGTATTAAAAAAACATTTACTTAAGACACAAACAAGTAACAACATGGATTCCTCATCATCGTGGGCTTATTTTTATAATTAATAATGTACTCTTTTAGATTTTATTTGTTCTTAGAGTAAAATAACTTTTTTTTAAATTCATAACTAAATTAAATAAATTTTTATAAACATGATACCATGTTTACGCACATTGTGTTTAAAATATTAGTAACAAAAACATTAAAAATTGAAGCTCTGATAATGATGCAAATATTTACTTATAAATGTTACTCAAAATGATTCTGAAGAGTCTTTCTTTTTCTTTTGCATTGAAAATAATAACGAATAGATAAAACATGTTAATAGATGCAAGTTAGCTCTGAAAATGATGCAAATATTTACTCATAAATGTTACTCAAAATGTTTCTGACGAGTCTTTCTTTTTCTTTTACATTGAAAATAATAACGAATAGATAAAACATGTTAATAGATGCGAGTTAGCACACGATGACATTACCATCTCCAGCAATAACGCTGTTGCAGACAAAGCACAGATTACCAAACAACTGGTGATAATGAGTTTCACAGTATGCCAGTCCTTTCTTTTCATAATGGCGATGTCCTAGAAAGGGTTTCTCACACTTGGCACAAACAAAGTGCTAAAGACACAGTAAAAAAAAAAAAAAAAAAATTTACCAACATCCTAATAAAACTGTAAATAAAATATCAAGATTTCAAACCAATGATTACATATAGATATAAATAACACCTCTTAAAAAAAACATACATTACAAGTAGCACTTCAAAAGTTACTAGAGCATAAGAGCACTCACGTGGCTATCAGGTTGGAATGTCTTCTTAACATGTGTTACAGTTTGCAACACATTACACAAAGAATTCATTAGCCTGAGCTATATGTATTTACACTTAAATAAAACTAGCCCTGATAAAATAACAGTATAAGGAAATCAATTACGGTAATTGTGAAGTGTAGAGAATATCAAAAAGCAAAAAAATTCACAGATGAAAATAAGTCTCACTTCTACAAAACACCTTTTTTCTGGTACAGGATGTAACCTACTGAAACGCAGCTCGAGAAAGTCATGACAAATCACTAAGCAACTTCACCAGTAGATGTGCATAAGCAAGTTAATCACAATTTATAAAAATGCTTTGCATATATTAATGCTGTAGCAAGCATTAGCATCAACTTTTGCAAATGGATGTGGGGTCTTGGTGTATTTTTTGCCCAAATTCAGGGTGCAGAGCAGCATCAATAAATTTTGGGAGTTCTGAAGCACCCATGGGGCTAGAATATATGGTGGTAAGTGACTATGTACGTGAGCCATGATACCATAAGTAACACATTTAGCACTATATATGGGTTCACTAGAATATTTGGATAGTAACATTGTTAAACAATGTACAGCCAAATGATATGACATATCAAAGAAGGAAGACTTCAATGTTCTCTACAAAACCATCTAGAGAGGAAAGCTAAAGTTGTATAAAGAACTTTCCGATCTAAGAACTTCCATTGCCATGAAGCCAGGCATATATCCTGGTACCACTACCAAGAAAATAAACAAGCATTTGATGTTAACAAAAACTTGAAAACTTCCAGTCACACCTTAAAACCAATAATCTTTCTTTTTTTTTCATGTGCAAAAAGGAAACACAAACTTGAATCCCATTCAACTGTCAAACCCCTAATACAGATACATGGAATTGTGTGCCTTTAGTCTGAGATTAAGAATGCATATGGAAGTTGTATATTCAGAAGTAAGACATTAACCAGTGGAAAGTTTTACAAAACGAGTGTAGAAACACTAACATGGTTGCACGCTCTCTGAAACGGATTGATCCCATAAAAACTATGTCGTACAGCCATTTTTAAGAAACTGGAAAGGCAAGTAAAAAATGCTGGAGTAAATTTGTGTTCAAAACTTAAGTATATTAAATTTAAGTCATCATTTCTAAAAAGTATAAATCATTTTCAGTATATCTTTTCTCACCATAAATGGCAGAAGGAACTAACATCTAGTTTTCCAAACTTAAAAACTGATATTTATATATTTATTGACATGACCCAAATTATAATTATCTGTTCTTCAGACTTAAGAAAGTTACAAAACTTTGTTTTCTTAATTAAACAAAAACAATACTGTCCTATATAGTGCCATGTATATTTCCTGAATTAATCTAATTAAAAGTTTCCTTATTACTTTGACTCACCTCTACATGCCAATGTTTGCCCAAAGCTGTCACCACTCTCTCTTCAATAGGTCGGCGACACGCACCACAGATTGGGATTCCCATCTTGTCATGGCAGCGCAAACAGTAGAGGTCACCTTTTACCTCGCGAGCTTCTGCTGTCAATTCAATGCTGTGTAAACCAAACAGTTTGTCATTTTATGACACTAAAGAATCAGAGCATTTCCAACTATTTTCATATAAGATTTTACTGCTTTTACCAAATCACAGCTGATTAAAATTACTAGCATAAATGTTGCCCTATGGGCAGCTGTTTGTGCTTGTAATTACTAATCATAGTATTCATACCTCACTGAAAAAATTTAGAAAGTCAACATTTTCTAAAAAAGAATTTTTTTCTCGGAAGTACTGCACGGGAAAAGTGTTCAGATTGTGCTCATTAGTCATATGCAACTCATTACATCAAAATAATTCAATGTACAGAGCTCAAAATTTTCATAAATTTTACTGATATAAACTGTAATATTTCTATATAATAGTTTTTTTTTAAGAACTCCAGTTTCTTAGTACTACATTTAAAAATTACATCAATAAAGATATAATCAAACACTCACCTACGTTCCTAGTGAAAGTCGTGTTCTTATTGTGAGGAGAGTAATTTTATTTAAAATTGTGTTCTATTATAAAGAAATGGTTGTTGCACATACCACAGTTATTTTTCTGAATCATGAATACCTAAAGTGTGAATTTTTTATGGATGTTTGTTTGTGGTGCCATCCAATAGATGGCACAGGAGTTCTGGTTACATACACAGTTACTTCAGTTACTTCATTATAGTAAAATGGAATAGAAAATTACTATTTCTTTAAGCCTACTTATAACACAACTTCAGTCAACTACTGTATTGATTATAATTTTGAACACAACTGAAAACATGGTTTTAATAACATCTTGTAACCAGAACACATGGTTTTTATCACAGCTTATAATCAGAATACGTGGTTTTAATAACATCTTATAGCCAGAACACATGGTTTTAATAACATCTTATAACCAGAACACATGGTTTTTATAAGAGTGTATAACCAGAACACATGGTTTTTATAAGAGTGTATAACCAGCACACATGGTTCTTATGACAACTTATTATGAGGTCTTATAGCCAGAGCATGATTTTATTACATCTTATAACCAGAACACATGGTTTTTATAACACTTAGCCAGAACATATGGATTTAAAACACACTGTAACCAGAACAGATGAGTCTTATGATAACTTATTACCAGAACATATGGTTTTTGTAACAGTTCATAAAAGGCTTACCCACAGGTTGTGCAGTTGAAATGATAAGGATGATAAGGCTCTCCACGAAACTTTAATGGACTATCATCAATTATGGCACTGTAAAAATGGTTATATGGTTACTTAACATCAAAGAGCAAATAAAACATTTTGGGCAAAATATTTGTTATTAAGATTCAAAACCTATTTCTTTAACAAATTACTCAACAGCACAAATTTACCATAAATGAATCAATCATATCTTCATTGGTAATGGTATTATTTTCTAAATTTAAGCAAAATCATATTGCAAGACTAATTCATGTACAGTTAAAAACAAAGACAATAAAACAATATTTATGAAGACAATGCAACTAAATTTCCAATAACATACATTACCTATTAGTAAAGTGATGTAAAGAAAACCAGCTAAATGTAGACTACGTAACCAATTTTATGACAAATTCCTTGAAAACAAATGTTTAAGCATCACCCTTAAAAACCAAACTACACTGATTCCTGTTTAAAATGTGCAAAAATTAACATACAATTATGTAAAAAAGCATACTTATAATTTACTTCTGCTACTTATTTAATTAAATATTAGACTACCATGTTTTATTTAACTGTTATATAAATTATGGTGACACAGTCCAAAAGTAATCAGTTTGTTTGTTTTGAATATTCAAGCAAAGTTATTCAAGGTTATTTACTTTAGCCATTGCTAATTTTGAACTGACAGACTAGAGGGAAGGCAGCTAGTCAACAGTGCCCACCTCCAACTCTTGGGCTACTTGTGACTGATCAAATACAGGGATTTGATGGTTACTCTTATTAAGGGCCCACAGTCCCATAGTTCAGAGGTTAATTTATTGTGTGTGTGTGTGGTAACAGGATTCAAAGTTATGGAACCGAGGGTCCACAGTCTGAGGCATGCTAATCACTGGGCCACACCCAGCCCAGAAATAACGAAAGAGTATATAAATGCACTGCTGAAAAATTCTTGAACAGTTCTTTCACATTATATGAATAATTAGTAAAACAAAAACAATAAATCCTTTTACTTCAGTCTTCTTTTACTGTGACTATCTTTATATTTCAGAGTTCTTTGAAATGACTGGGTATCTGTTCACTGTTGGAAAATGTTTTCCTGCATCATGATAATACCAGTCCTCATTGTGGCTGGGGAATGACTGGATGACTCTGTATTTCAGAGTTCTTTGAGGTAAATTGTAAATGAAATTTGATCACTCATAATTTGTGGTCAGTCACTAGGCCATAT